CCTGGACAATCCGCAGGTCCCGCTCGAGACGCTGGTCGACAGCCGTATCGTCGAGGGTACGTTCCCGTTGCTCGACCGCAGAATCACCGTTCCTGCGGGCGACAGGGACGGCAAAAACAGCGAAGGTGGCGGTGATGACGTCTGCGGAAGTCGAGAACACCTCCAACGGCGGGACGAGAAACGAACGATGAGGAGAAGAATGTCGTCGTACCTGGGAGGCCTCTTTGATCCGTCGCTCGAGCTAGCCGTGCACCTGTACCGAATGGGACCTTTAAACAGCTACAACAGCAGCCCCGGCGGCAACAAAAGTTCGCTGCTGGCTGGGGGCAACAACGCGGCCGTAGCTGGAGAAAGCACCACCACATATGGGGTTCGAGAAGAAGGAGGTGGTGGTGGAGGTCGCGAGGAAAGGGGTAGCGATGAAGGCAGCGGCGGCGGCGTTGCAGATCCGCCAGCGGGGCCAATTTTGTGGAAACCCCCGTCGCTTGTCGAAAGGGGGAAGGTCGGGCGTCGGTCTCCTGTCGTCACGTTGTACGAACGACCGCAGATGGAAGTGAGGAGTGAGCAGCAGTAGCGAGGGCATGGCAGTCATGATACACGAGAGCTCTGTCACTGCATGTGCCCACAGCTGTCCCTAGAAAAGACTAGAACTACGCAGATATCTGGATGGGTCAACAAATCGGGGACAAGCTGGGAATTATGATTATTACGCTGTGTCGTTTGGAACTTGGATCTTGGATCTTTCGATCGATCAAAAGTGTCAAAAGTCTCGCACCCTTTCCTTGTACAATAAAGAAGAGAACCACCGCATAATTACGACGGACGGATGCGGCTGGCTATGATAGGTCTGATGGACCTGTGTAAACCTGCGAAGTTTCGACGCCGTGTGTCGCCACCACCGCCCAGGTGTTGGCCAATCAAGCACAAAATAACTTCGTCTCTTCTCTCGTGTTTCCGGGAGTTGAGCCACGCCTTAAACTAGCTCCCCACGCTGTCGTGCATGGGCGCCCAAAATGGGGAGGTTGTGGCGAACAAACAGACAAAAAATTATGTTGTGTCCTCTTTCTTCGAGACAACCGGTCGGGCAAGGTCCTTGAGCGCAGGGAGAATCCGTTACCAGCAGCAGGAACGACAGCAACACAAAAGGACAAGTTCATCGACATCGATGGTGATACACAGACAAGGAACGACGGCAGCATTCGCCTACTACGCACTACAACGTGGAAAAAGCGAGCGGTCGAAAAATCGTCGACGTCGACAGACAGCAACAGTGGTAGTGGTGACCTTTGCCTACGTACAAATACATGTATGCACTGACAAAGAAGTTACCACACAATTACATACGCACTGGCAAAGAATAGAAGGGCTACACAACAGCACACCAACTACCACCAAACAGCGCACCAACAGACAGCACACAATTCTCCTTGCAGAAGAATGCCTGAAGCAACGGGGTGCGTGGCAGGGCGCGAGATACGAAAAACAAAACGAATAGCGTTATTTTACCAAAAGAAAGTCAGACATTCGCAGAATTACAACCCCATCGCGCCAGCCCTGCCCTCCAACCCCGCTTCGCAGGAAATATGAATGTCCTCCCCCGTGTCGAGGTAACTAACGTCCATCATGACGAGAACACGAGAACGACCGCACTTTTTTTCGCGCCCCTTGTACTTCTCACCAACCATTCGCCGAATACAAGCACAGCATTGGGCACGTCGGTCACGTGGCTGTCTGGGACGCCACAAAAGCAGGCATGTTCTGCTAATCTAAGCGTGTCTTTTACATTGGTCCGGCTCTAAGAAGGACTGGACCAGGTCTCCCGCCGATTCGGCGTTATGTGACATCATACAGATTTTTCCAACACACGAGTACCCTGGCCCCGTAAACGATTTGCAGTCCTGTACTCCCCCCTCCCTACCCAACCTGTAGTACGCACTGCCCCTCCCCCTTCCCTTCGCCGATGTTGAATGCACCTGTTTCTTCCATACAACAAGCAGATCTATTCGTGCCACTCGGCCCTACCCGTTCACGTGCCGGCATCACCTGAATAAGCTAGCTCCAGACCACGAAAGTGTAGCGCCGGGTTGCTGCAAGGATGGCCATCAACGGACTGCTACTTTGAGGCACTTATTGTACTCGGACGTGCTATTTGTGGTTATCCACACCGCCTTTAATCATGATGTGACTCAAGCCAGGCCTGGCCACGTCGGGAGCCAGACTAGCGCCAAGGTGCTGCACAACACGTCGGGGTCATCAAGAGGGTGACGATTTTGTCATCCAACGCGACCTATCACGACCGGTTCGTCAAGGGCGAAACGTGTACATACTGGAACCGTAACCGTCATCCCTGTTCCCCGCCCATCGGCCACTTCATCTAAAGACCACCAGGGCGCGAGGCGAGGTTCACTGCCCTTCACCAAAATACAAGCAAACACACAGAAAGTTGGAAAACTCTTCGACACTGCTGTGTTCACAGCTGGAACAACAGGACATTCTGCCGTAAGGCGGGACAACACAGCGCTTGCCTCGGCGGCATCACGTCGTTCGACGAGCCAATACCCGCCCGGACCAAAGGCGTTCATAGCCAGTCCTCGCTCGCTCCCTGCCACTCCCTACCCACCCCCAGTAGAAGCGCCTCATACAAAACCTCTCCTTGGGTATTCCGAGAATCAAGCACCATGGCGGTTTCGGACTCAAAAACAGGGGGTAGGACACACAGAAGTACATCTCACATCCTCGACCGCGAAGCTACTCAAGAGAACGTGGTGATATGCTCCGCTCCGGCCGTTCAACTCCACCTGGTTCCGTTCCTAGAGACCGCGAATAACACATGCTGGCGATACATCAAGACCGCATAACGCGCCTCTCTGACTCAAGCAACAGCCCACTAGGTAACACTGCAAGCAACTCATTGCGAATTTTTCACGTGGTATCCTTATCTTTTTAAGTTACTGACAGTAGTCTTTGAACTGCCGGCGAATTTCTCTTGCCGCTTGCCTGTTCCGACAAGCCGACCGCTTATAGGCTCCGATAAGACGGCACCCGCACACCCGAAAAGCTCGGCGCTTGAAAGCGGCCACGGCCCCCAACACGTTGCACACACACGACTCACCGATTCTAGTCCGCAATCAACAAATCGCGGACAGTGACAGCACACAAATATTTCGCATCGTCCAATCCATGTAACAAATCGAGGGTGCCGTGGGGGTGGGGAGGGGGGGGGGAAGGCTTCCCCCCTTTCTCCCAGCTTTCAGACGCCGCCACAACCGCGAAGCACAAACCACACAAAATACAAAGAACAAGGTACATACCGCAACATACACCATCATCCTTTACAACAAGACAAGACAAGACAATATAAATATCAAGAGAAAACAAAACGACCTTTTTTTTTTTTCGGAGCAACAGATCATATCCAACACTTCTGTCTGACGACGACGCGCAGGTATTCTCGCGCTGTTGCGAAAACAAGCCCACCAAACACGTCCGCGTGAATCGCCACACAGGCAACAACCCTGGCTTAACTAAAACCTAAATACTTACTTCTTTCTTCCTCGTAGGACAAGTGAACAAATGTAAAAAACGAAGCCCCGCTTCCTTCTCCCCCTCTTGGTAGGCTCCAAGCGCTACATACCGCTACATACAGCCGGCGCCGCTACGGCCAGTCCGCGCGCGGCCGCTACTTCCCCGCCGCCACTCAGACGTCCTCCCAAAGGGTCGAGTTTTGGACCCTGGCGGGCTTCTTTCTGGACCAGATGTGGCTGCTGGCGCGTTGCTCTTCCTCCCCCTTCCTCTCGTCGTCGTCGTCGTCGTCGTCCTCCTCCTCCTCTTCCTCCTGTACTGTGGCGACGGTCCTGTGGTTGGCCATGGGGTTGATCGTCGTCCGGATGACGTCATCGTCGGCTTCTCCGGAGACTGACGGCGACGAAGACGACTTGTCTGTGGCCTCCTTCTTCGCGAGCGTCGGGGCGCAGAGGAGCGCCAGTGCCACGACGTAGAGGTTGACGCCCCCGTGGGAGAGGGTGAAGGCCGGTCCGCCTGCCAGTGGTGGTGAATGATGCTGGTGTTTAGACATTGTTATTTCTTCAGGAGGGAAGTACATGGATTTAATATTTCAATTTAGGGTACAGGTCGCTCCGCCTGTTGTTGGTTATTGGTCGTTTTTTTCGTTGTTTTTGGAGGGCGAAGAAACATGGATGAGAAAATATCTTGCGCACTACCTCGGCAGGTTACGTCTTCATGTTTTCATTTCTTTTGGAGGTCAAAGCATGGGTCCATGAAACATTCCTGGTATAGGCTATGCACTTACATGCCTCCCAGATCGCGCGAAAAGGTACAACCAATGGTAGTTTTGTTGCTTGTGACGTCTACTTGACTGCTTCATCGAATCGCTTGCTGTTCCTTGGGTGTTCGATTTGTCTCTTTCTAGGGACTGGTTCGGCGGGTTGCTTGGTCGGCCGGTCGTCTTTAATTTGTTTCTCGCTCTGGCTATGGCCAAAAACAATCGAAAAAGAGTCGATGCCGCTTTTCATGTCCGTTCGTTTCGTAGGCGTGCACGCTACCCAAATCTTGCCCGTTGGCGAAATCCAATTCGATTGTGGGCGGCGGAGAAGCTCTCGATCGCCCTTCGACCCTTGACTTTGTTCGGTCCAAACCGAGCCAGTTGCCCGTGGGGTCCCGCCGAATCGGATATATGTCCCGCAAAGACGGAGATTACTTTCGTCCTTCAACGTGCTACCGCGGTCGGTTCTGCACCTTGAACGACACCCACAAGTTGGACGCCACGATCTATCGCGGAATATTATAGTGCATGAATACTTGTTATCCCGCTTAAGACGGACAAACATTCGTCGTTCAACCTGCTGCAACCGCGGTCGGTTCTACACACACAAAGCGCGACGCCATGCTATGGCAACAGGTGCATGGTATATCGTCTTTTCCCTCGTCAACACATATTCCAAGTATCCAACTTGCAGGTGACCAATGCATGTCAACAACGACAACAACAACGGCAACATCACCAGCTAGAGTAATGGTAGCTCCGCATAGTTGTTTGGGGGGGAGGGTAGGGCAGAGTGACATTGTAATCCGCAGATTTGAGCAGATCGACTGGAACGATAACAAGAAGTTTATCGAATACCGGCCTTGTTTCGGGCTGCTTGATTCGTCCAAGAGATGGAGAGTTTCAACACATCCTGAGAGTGACGGTATCGACTTACATTTCATTGCGATAATTCCAAGCCAGACGCCTCATGCATGTTTTGAGTCAAACCATTTGTATGGTTCCAATGAGATTGCACAGGCGCGATAGGACAATGCGCGGGAGAGGACAGCGCGCCGAAAAAAATCATCACCACCAACAAACAACATGCACACAAGGCCGTAACAAACAACACAGACACAGACACACGCGCGCACGAACATCTATCTCTACGGACAGCAGCAGCAGTAGCGTCGCCGCCCATACCTCGTGCTCTTGGCTGCAGGTACTCCAGGATGATCGCCGGGAGCAGCAACGCCAAGGTCACGAAGGAGGAGAGAACGACGAACTGGGCCCGCGGGCTCGATCGCAGCTTCTCTCGGCCCTGGCACCACCACCACGCCCGCCCGGCCAGGGGCAGCACCCAGCAGCAGTAGACGAAGACCAAGACGGTGAGGATCTTCTCCGTGCCAGTCGACGTGTACGGGTCTTGAATGCGGTGAAAAAAAAAAAAATGTTACTCCACAGTATGAGGCAGGGATAGACACACAAGGAGAATGAATTGTAGGCTGGTGGGGACAGAGGAGGGGAGGAGGGGGAAGGGGGGGGTGTACTCGTAGCCGTGCTTGCCGTAGCCGTTAGATCATTGACCTCGCATCCCTACAAAGCCGGGACGGAGCAGCCCGGTTTTCACCGGACCAGGCACTCACATCACCGAGGCGGAGGGGGAGATTTGTTGACGTGGCTCTGCCGCTGTTACGACTTCTACCGTTGTGCTTCGTGTAGCGCGTATGCCCGTTTCTATGTTCCTCTCTGCGTGCCATTGGCCGTTTCGCCGTGTCTTGGACGATCGCGACCCCGTTTACAGTGGCTGTGTGCGCTTCTTGTGGCCTGCATACGTGTCTTCGATCTTTCACATTTCGAATCGTCTTCTGCGGGGAGGAGGTGCAGGGGCAAACGCTCAACAAGCGAGTAGTCGTGTGTCGGCATCTTACCTTGACCGCCTCGGTTTCAAAACCGTGCGTCACAAAAACAGGGTGGCCGAGACTCTTTGGACCCTCTATCTCTACCGTAAACTAAACACTTGGCACTCATACTACGCAAAATTAGCTTCGGGGTGGCAGCACTCACATTTGTGAACCCGATCTGGGTTACCATCTCTCGACACCCGGATATCGCTGGAGGGGGACAGGCCGAAGGCAGAGCAACAGACGCCAGAAAAAAAGGGGGTTCGTGGGTATAGTATGGGCAAATGCGGATGGCGGGGGGGGGAGAGATCGTTAACCTTGGACCGCTACAAACCCTGGACGGAGCACGTGGTGGAGGTGCGTCCAAAGACACCGCAAGCGAAAAAAATTGGCTTCCGGAATGTGTAAATGGAAAAATGACGGGTGCGCAACGTTCAACGACCAACACGAACATGGAGGGAAGGGGTGAGAGGAGGGAGACGGGGGGAGGAGAGAACCGCGACGACGCAGACGCTCCCAGCGCCTCGCGTACTATCTCAAAGGCCGAACAAAAAAGGCTTTTTATAGTCCAGGACAAACATCCTTTTAATGCATAGAAGTACATTACCGTAAAAAAAAAATGCAATAGAATTGGTTCGCCTGGGGCGATGTACTTCGTACTAGCGTAGCGTAGCCTGGGGTAGCCAAGGTAGCCTAGCGTAGCCTAGCATGGCCTAGCGTGGCCTAACGACCGAAAAAAAACTGGGGAGTCTTAAAGAACACGAGGGCTCACGTGTACATTTCTACGCGGTGGAGTTGCGACGCTTGAGCGTTAAATCGACAGCAGCGGTTATATATGGCACAAGCGAAATGCCAAAGATGAATGCTTGGATCTTCACACCCCCGGAACCATCTCGCCTCATGCGTCAAGAAAACAAACCATGGGTAGCCCGACCCATGAATCAATACTAAGACAAGCGCACCAGCAACGTACCACAGGGAACAGAGTTAGTCCTCCTCTCTGCATTGCAACCGCCTGACAAGGATACACTCGCGAGTCAAGAGCACCACTTATCTCAAACTTCGGCGGCCTCTTTTGGGGGGGTGGGCCCCGCACTAAACGGCTTCAGCTCAGAGCAGCAAACGGCACCATTTTTTCACGAATCGGCATTTGTTTTACGGGGCGGACGAAGACTCACATCATGTTGATTACGTACACGATGCACAGGAGGAGGGCGAGCGTCACTCCCGCCCCTCTCGCCGGAGCACCCGTGGTCCCCCTCCTGTCTCGCAACACACGCGGTAGGTATCGAGAGACCAAGCATCACACGACAAGGGGTTGGTTGTTGGTTTAAGAAATCTTTGCCGTCTGGCGATACGTCCACCGGCAGCGACAAAGGAAGCGCGGAGGTAGCTTGAGGCCGGTGATACCTACATGATATACACGTTCATACGCGCGTTATTCTCGGAGAACTAATGCCAAGCTTATCCACGGGTCCCGTTGCATAGCGTGGTCCAGGTTAAAACAAGGGAACCATCAGCAACAGCGAAGAGGGGAAATCTACCACAGTGACAAGCCAGCAACTGGTCCTCCCCCCCCCCCTCCTCACGGCGCTTCGCGCTTGGTGAGGGCGTCCTCCGTCCCGGCTTTGTAGGGATGCAAGGTCAACGGTCTAACGACTACGGCATGCACCGCTATAATGAGTACACCCCCCCCCCCCCCCCCCCCCCCCCCCCCCCCCCCCCCCCCCCCCCCCCCCCCCCCCCCCCCC